CTATCGGTATCATCATTGTTATTCTTATTGTTATCATTATCATTATCATCATTATTATCATTATCATCATAATTGTCATCATTATCATCATCATTATCATCATTATTATTGTCGCTATTATTCTTATCATTTTTATTACCGTCATCATTCTTATCATTATTACTGTTGCTATCATTATTATGTTTTTCATTCATATTATCGTTATCATTGTTACCATTCTTATCATTATTATTAGAATTATTATCATTATTATTATTATCATCATCGCCATCATTATTGTTACCATGATTATTATCATTATTTATATTATTATATTATTATGTTATGTTAATATCAGTATCATCATTATGATTATTATCAGCATTATACCATCATCATTTTTTCATCCTTCTCATGTTTACTTGGCATGGAGAGTTGCGTTATATGCCCACACACACACACACACACCACACACACACACACACACACACACACACACACACACACACACACACACACACACACACACACACACACACACACACACACACACACCACACACACACACACACACGCTTCTCCTCCAAAAGATAAACACACAAGATGAATGAATCAAATGGGTAATTGAAGCATAATTAAACAGGTAGATAAAGAGGATTCCAAATGAATAAATTAGAACTCGATAGATTAATTATCGGTTGTACTTTATGAACCATTTGATCTCAATTCTCAAGGATTCTACAAATGGAAGCGAAGGTAAACAGATGGAGTAAAAGGGAAAATTCTAGGAAATATAGAAGTGTGTGTGTGTGTGTGTGTGTGTCTGTGTGTGTGTGTGTATGTGCTGTGTGTGTGTGTGTGTGTGTGTTGTGTGTGTGTTTGTGTGTGTGTGTGTGTTGTGTGTGTGAATGTGTGTGTGTGTGTGCGTGTGTGTGTATGTGCTTGTGTATGTGTGTGTGTGTGTATGTGTGTGACTCTGTGTGTGTGTGTGTGTAATTGTGTGTGTGTGTGTTTGTGTGTATGAGATGAAACAGATAGTAGAAATAATATGAAAAATGAAAATATGACTGAGAAATGTATTAGTCAGTGCAATGTTTGTAAAATAAATGAATAAATAGCTGATAGATAAAAATAAACAAAATATATAATAATAAATGTTTATATT